TCACTTTTTTCAATGACGGTCAAAAGGAACCATTCAAAGAAATGAGCGATAAATATGGGAAATAAAATATTCAGTTTGTAACATAAATGGTAAGAAAAGCTAATTTGTTTTTAGATAATCTTTAACAATTTATAGCACAAAATTCACATTCCATTTATTAACCCCCTACTAAATAGTACTAAAAGAGATTTAATTACCCTATTCAATAAAATCTTCCGTTTTTATAGAATCAGAGAAAATAACAGTATTTGACTGTAGAAAGAGCCTTTTGACTTAAATATTTTTTTTTATTTTTTGCGTTACGTTTTTATTCGTACGAGAAAGAGAAATAAAATAAAATAAAAAATGAAATTTCAATTTTAGCATATAGTTGGGGGGAGACAAATATGAAAATTAGCTGGCATGGTATAAAGTAGGGACAATATAACATTAATGGCGCATGACTCTCTCTATACTCATGCATCTATCATGGCCCGCCAAGAATCCCAGCGCGTGGACCTCACTCTCTAACAATTTTTATTAAATTTTATGCTAATTTTTTTATTACTAGTGTCTATTTGTCTAATTTATTATTTATTTTGTTTGATTAAGGTTTAGAATTTGTTTATTTAATTATTTGGATAATTATCTAGATTTTTTAATAAATTTTTGTTTTGGTTTAAAATCTTGGTTAAAAATCTTTAGATTTCGTTTGTAAAAAATCTCAACTATATTTAAAAGAATATATCTAGTTAAATCTTTCTAAATCAAATCTTAACTAGATTTCTATATTTTGAGAACAAAGTATCAGAAAGAAAGGGAACGAAATAAAAATAGTGCCATTCTTGGTTTTCGAATCAAGAAAGGGGATTTCTATAATTTTTTATACAATTATACCTCTAAAATTTAGGTTTGTTCATAAATATGGGAAGAAGTTGTACGGAAGGAAACAAATATATGACATACCAAAAGAAAACTATACTCATTTCAATTAGCGATATTTTTCCATTTTTCGTTTCAAGCATAGTTTTATCTAAATCAAATTTAATT